TATGTAAATTATCATGAATTACTTAGCTCTTATAAAATATTATTAATTATATATTATTGGAAATTTTTCGTTTATATATGTAGCATGAAATAACCATCGCACGGATAATATTTATATACTGGAAATTCAAAAAATAGATTGTCAAACGAGAGTTAGAGATGACTTCACGATGAGAAGAAAATAGTTTCGTTAATTTGCAATGAACTGATTGTAATGATAGTGAGGCGTGAATATACATTAATTATTTAAAAAATTTTAAAATTTAATTAAACACGAATTTTCAGTTATATGAATGAAAATTTCCAAACTAACTTATATCAATCCTCTTGATTATTAATGATAATTATACTTTCTCAAGAATTTCAAAAACATTAAAGCTAAAATGAATAAATGTCAATACTGAAATATTTTTCTTTACATATTGACATTCTAGATATTTTAATTCAACTATTTAATATGTTGAGTATTTTAAAGATTTTATGACATTCTACTTTCATTTTACCAATCATATTCTCTACGAATGCAATGTAATATTATTTTTATAGTAAATCAATCATAATCAGGCAAATACGACTGTTGGCTGTATCTATTGATTTCATTGATGTTAATGTTTTGAATAAATGCAAATGTACAAGTGTGTAACAACAACTTTTTCTTAACTTTACAAACATTTTATTATCGTTTGGTATTCTTTGAATTTAATTACATATCTTTATTTGGCTATTATAAATAGAATATTTGTACATTAGAAAAATACAGTTGTATTAAATAAAAAATTGTATTGTGCACGTCAAAAAGATATAATAGCTAAGCGAAAAAATTTTACAAATCATGCCAGTATCGAATAATCAGAATGAAAGAAAGAAATCATGGAAATTATTATAGACATAATGAAGAATTACACTAAAAGCATAAATCTGAAATAAAAATTAAAATTACCCTTATATTGAAAGGTAATCAAACAAACATTTGATAAAAAGAAGACTGAATCGACTATTGGGCTATGCAAACCTCGTGAATAGTAATCAAGAATATCATCTTGTGATTTAGAAAAAATAATTTTATTCAGATTTTACCTACTTTTTTTGTTTTTTAATACTGGTATACATACGAAGAAGAAGAAGAAGAAGAAGAAGAAGAAGAAGATGAAGATGATGAAGATGATGAAGATGATGAAGAAGAAGAAGAACAACAACAACAACAACAACAACAACAACAACAAAATAATAGGATATTTTTCTACTGCACGCAAATTTTATTAATTTCATCATTTATATAAGTTTAATGTCTATGTTCTTCTGTACTTAATAAATAATTATATAATTAATTTTTCATTATTTCAAACAACTTAAATAAAACGTATGGCAAAATGTATTAACATTCTACGATAATCGTATATAATTGGCATTTAAGGACATTGATCATGCAGCCATTGATATTTTATAATATTCTACCGAGCTGACACTTGGTCCAGTCACATTAATTGCCCCGCTTATTAAAACAACAACTACCCGATGAATAAATAATCACTTAATAAATAGTGAATTTTATAAACTATTAATGATAGCTCTTTATTTTAAATATCCCGCTACTTAAGTAATTTATTCAAATATCACATGTAGCGTACTTAATACAATAGCAGATTTCGTGGTGAAATAGTGGCATTTTAAAATTTGCTAAATAAAATTAAAAATTCCCGTCTAAATTGTGAAATTGGTATAACGTTTTCAATGTAATGATTATTTAAATATCAGTTAATATGAGAGAGAATATTAAAGTTCAAAATTACAAAATCAGATGAGTTAAATATCTTAAATATTAAAGGAACGCTATTTGCTTTCTAGCATTATTAATTTATGATCAATTTTCAGAATGAAAATCGTTCGTGTTAAATTACTATGTAAAATTCATTTAAAGTTACGTGCTAATTATAAGCTCATGTACCACTTGTTACGCAAGACTGTGAAGTGGAAATGGATTAAGAGATGGAGTAGTGCATTTAGATATACCGCGAGTGCCGTTTAGCATCATATGCGTTACCCGTTAAATGTAGCATCTAAAAATTATAAATGTAGATTAAAGAACGTGTTTTTATACAAAAATATAAAAGTGGAATAGAAAAGGCCATCATATATTTTTTAAATTATTAAAATGAATGAATTATTACAATTCATATATATATGTATATATGTGTGTGTGTGTGTGTGTGTGTGCGCGCGCGCGTGTGTGTGTATTCGCATTCAAGTATACTTGCATCTACAGTTCTCGCCATACTTAACCGATCGATAAAATTATAAAGTTATACAAGTACTTGATATACATATTTAATATTGAAACTGCAAGTTTTATAAAAAGATATATTTTAGTATTTTAGTGAGAGTGTGTGAAACGTTTCTAGTTTTCTCTAGTTAAATTTTAATTTGAAATTTGCATTATAAATCAATAATCTTTAACGTTTAATGCATATATATATATATATATATATATATATATATATATATATATATATATACATATATATTATTATAAATCTATCGTTCCTTTACGTACATGCACATAGTTTCCATTTTTTTTTTATTTAAAATTCTTTATATTAATATAAACATTTTATTCTTCTCGAAAGATAACAAACAAAAAAAAAAAAACAACAAATCTACCTTCCACCTTGTTAGAAAAATGAATAATAATGTATTATTTAAATACATTTGTTAATGTGATCTGATCGAAACAGTTATTCCTCGAAAATTCAAAGTTTAAAATCAGCAATCTTGAAAATACATGGCCATTGAAACTGAATAAGTGAATTTGATAATCATTATTAAATAATTATTTTACAAGTACTTTTTTTTGTTGCGAAAACACGACAGGAGGAGTAAATTTTTCTAATGCCGAGGCTAATGCCTTAAAGTATTGGGCTTTAATTTTAAAACGCATGGAAGAAAGTTATATAATTTTGTAAATGTTTATGCTACAACATAAGGACAATGATTAATCAATCCAGAGACGCGTCGATGTCTCTTTTCATTTGGAAAAACATCCGAGATGACGTGTCATCGAAAGAGGGCAATGAGAAGAATGAAATGAATTGTCGGGCGATCGAATGAAATCCACGGTCACTCGAGAATCCGTAAAAGCGGTGTAATTAATTCCATTGATGTGTATTTTCATGAAAAATGGGTGGCCGACGGATAGTATAAAATGATTCTGCACTCCAGCGCTCGATTATCTTAATTGTGTATACAGAACAATGCCCGAGAATCGTTATAAAAGAGCGGTGGTATGTGCCGTGGTTACGGTGCGGAAGGTGGCGGGGTGCGTTCGGGGGTGGGTATAGGAGACGACTCGGTAAAATGGCGTTTGAGCTTGTGAGTAAAAAGAGTGAAAATAAGGGACGAGAGATTAAACGCGGGAGATGAGGAGTGAGAGGTTGGCCGCGCGTGCGTCCTCGGTTATCGAATAGAGCACCGGTTAAAGGGCGACGGTAGGGGGTGGGGGTGTGCGACGACGGGGCGGGGAGGTGGAGAGAGGATGGTGTGCGAGTGGCCAGCGAGACTGCAGGTGGGGCATTATCGTGCAGGCGTGCTTATATAGATTGGCCTTTTAGCGTGTGCCACCACTTTCGTAAAATGCATTAAGTGATTTATTAGAATTTGCCGGTCCGAGCTCGCATGCGCCCAGCCGAAATCGAGCGAACGGAGTGCCGCCGACAAGCAATTATTCATCCAGCCAATGTTATTCCGCATTTCTGCATTGCGCTTATTATGACAGGCGGATGTTATTCGCGGCCTTATTGGCGTTATGGAACGGGATCATCGAGTTTGGTCAGCTTCTCCGAATGATGGAGTACCGCGAAATTCGTTCGCGCTTCATCGGGGTGAGAAGATTTGTTTGCGCGAGGCCGTGGGACGGACGATCGACACTCACTGTTACGCTTCCTTCGTCAGCTTATAATATTTAGCGTAAATAAGTTATGGCTGTTCGTATGTAATGTAAACGTTGTGAATGTATTTTTATGTAACTGTGGCAGTGCCGAAGATTCGTAAATGAAAAGCCGCGTACACTTTTTCGTAAAGATAAAATTAATTTTGGTCAGGCAAAACAGTCGTATATTTCGTAACGGTAACTATTCTTTTTTTCCTTTTACAGTCAAAACTTAGTATTCCATTGCGGTAATAATACTTTAATTAACAAATTTAATAAAATAGTTTATTTTTTATTTAAATAATTTATGTCTTACATAATATATAATGGCATTTTTTAATTATTCTGTCTTTGTTTACACCCTGCTAGCATTACTTTCAATATCATATAGTTTTATAAGTATTTCATATATTGTTAATTACAAGGTAATATTCGATAATAATTTTACAATTTCATAATTATAATGTAATACTAAATAAATAAAAAAAAAAAAAAAAAACTGGGTTTAGTTAATGTGTTTTTAATTAATATAAAAATTCTTTATCAGATTTACAACAATCAATAAAAGCAGATTTATAATCGCTGATTCTACGATTATCTACATAATCGTGAAAATCAAAATAGTATATTAGGTCAGTTTCGAAGAATCAATGTTTAGTGAATTCTTTATTGATATGCTAAATTTCCTTCGTATCTATAAATATTATATCGAGAAACGTAAATATAAAGTAATAAATATTTATTTGCAGTTGTAAAGATTAAAGAAACAAAGTTAAGACAAAACTTAAAAATTACGTGAGTATAGATGAATGAAGGAAACCATATGCGCACACACACATTTTTTTTTTTTTTGGATTTTTTTTCAACCAATAAATGTATTTTTAAAAAAAAAAAAAAAAAAAAAAAAAAAAAAAAAAAAAAAAAAAAAAAAACTTAGCAGTGATGAAAGTAATGCTATTATACTATTAAAAGCATTATAATGGCTAAATTTTTAATTATATTTACGTCATAATAAAAAAAAAAATTCATTTTTTTTTTTTGTTTTTGTTTAATTTCATTAACAATTTAAGCGTAAGAAATTTGAAATTCAATAATGACCTTTACAAAAATAATTATAAGAGATCTTCCATTAAAACAGTACGTCTTACGGCATTACTATAACCTTCATTATACTGGAACCATACATCACTTTTAAACAAATCATTTCTCTTCTTAATGTTCAATTTATCTTCACTATTGGAATTGGATGCTATTTCATCATTCGCGATACCTTGTTCCTTTTCTTTTGCTTGTTTCTCTTTCAATTTCTGTTGGCCAGCTAATTGAAAAGATAGAAAAAAATTTCGACATTTCTGAAAAGGATAATAATTTAATTATTATAAAATTTATGGGTAATAATGGATTATATGAATATAAACTGAATAATAATACTGATTAATATTGTTAAAATCTTGTTAAAAATTAATAAGCATTACTTCTTACATTTATTAAAATAAATTCACTACAATTTCACAAATCTATATCAGTTATTCTCAATTACATGTATCCTCGCTTCATTCGACTTTCTATAAAATTATATAAATGATTATTAACCATTAGCATTTACGATAGCGTGTCTAAATTAATTTTATAATTAAATATACAAATTTCGTTATAAATTATTATAGTCGTTTAATTATATAATTAATTTATATACAACTAATTGATAATCATAAATAAAAAAAAAACCTAATTTAATTAGTTGTTAAAATCTAACATTTTAAATATTTACAAAGCAATTTACAAATATAGCGATTCAGAACATTTATCCAATAAATTAAAATTTTTTATATAAAATACTTTTAAATTTAGAAGATATATATTTTTGGCGATAAAAAATCGAATACACAGATAGAAGCAAATATTTTGTTCAAATCAATTTTTAAAGAATCGCGGAAATACAATATTCTCCGTATTTTCATTAAAACGCAAACAGAACTTTCAAGAGAAAAAGAACTAAAGATATTAAATAATAGTATAGGAAAATGGTCGCGAATTTTTCTTATATTTTATACAAATTTATATTTCATTATACATAAATAACAAAACAATTGAAAAATAATAAACTTTATAAATATACATCGTTTTTGCCAGATATATTAATAAGCTTTTATCGAATATTCGAATTCCCTAATTAAATGACTATGTTTAATAAATCATTATTATAATAATATTTCTTTGTATTTCATAACTATATGTAAATAAATATTGTATTATGAAAATTTTAAATATTTATTTAATACCGTTTTACTATTTAAGTGAAAAAAAGCAAACGCTTATATTTTTCAACTTAATATCTTTTTGGATTGTTATAATTTTTTAATTAATATACACTTGCCACCTATTATAACTTTATTTATTTGGGAAATATATTATTGAATTAATTTTTAACGGAAAACTAAAAATGTAAAGAATGTTTAAAAATAGAATAAAAAAAAAAAAACTAAAGTTTAAAGATAATAAGAATTCAATAACAAATCAATATTTGAAGAAAATATTACGGCCTTCAAATAAAATCGAAAAATTGCTTCACATATCTATATTATAATACGAAAATTATGAGAAAAAGGAAATCCATATAACTTACTCACAAGGGCTGATATGCCCTTAGAGAAATATGACTTTATCAAATATAAGAGAGAGAAAGAAGTACGATGAACTCCCAACATAAAACGAAAATTCCCATTCTTTTATAAAATAAGTCCTTTAAGTCTAATTTTTATAAAATAATTTAATGCACTTGCTACCATAAATATATAAAGTACTACTGATTTTTATTCAGTTCTAATATTAGAATATTAGCTTAATGCAATTTTATGTCATAGTAATTGAAATTTTTATAAAATAAAGAAATGGAATATTTATAAATCGAAAATTATTAATATAGTCTACGTATATAATAAATAATGCAAGAGTTTGCATTCATTGTTGCTAAATTACGAGTTTTAACTATAGAACATTGGTATAAAAATGATTGATTAAAAAAAAAAAAAAAAAAAAAAAATAACACACGCATGTTGTAATTGAGTTGTCTAATTGATAAATTCCAGATTAGCAAGAAATATATAGATTACATCCGAAAGCTTTTACATTTATATATTAATACGAATGATTATATTAATAGAAATGTAATCGATGCAAGGATTAAACAAAAACAATAATCGGACTCATCAAAGTAATAATATTTGAAGAAGAAATATTAAAAAGAATTGAAAAAATATAACTGTGAATATGGACAGTTGAAGGTGGATAAAAATCTCAAAAAATTTATTAAGTTACATTAGATTTTGTAATATAAAATTTAATTATTAAAGTATGTCGGGAACACTGGGCTAAAATTAATAGTAAATTAATTTAGAAAGATGAGGTAAATTGAAAGATTACATGAAAAATAAACAATAAAAAGAATAAGAGCATATAATAGAAATCGTAAAGGGAAATAAACAGAAGACAAGGATAGGCGAAAAATGTCAGGGATAAATTGATCGATTATTAAGTTTAAAAAGTAAAAGCAAGATTGGTAAAAGCAAATGATCACAATAAAAAGAGGTAAAATATAACATTAAGTATGAAAAAATTGTATTGATAACGGAATACCTATATATATATATATATAAGTAGATAGATTGAGAAAGACGGGAGTGCAAATCAAATTTTATTAATGACAGATTAATGTAAAATAAAGAATAAGTAAAGAATTGATTTTATCATTCAAGCTCTGAAAGCCAATGACTTATTTAACTATTATAACAATTATTATAAAAATAATGCAATTTAATGAATAATAAGTGTAGGAGTAGTTGAATTAAACTAGGGACTATAAATCTAATGGGGTGGGGGTGGGTGGGTGGGGGGGGAGAGAAATTTATTCTACTACTCTCGTGAGATTTCTTATTCAAAATCTACACGACAATATACATTATCGGTACAAGATCAAAATTTTCTATCAAGTCAGCATATTTGATTTACTGTTACGTTTAACCCTAAACTAACAAAGTCGTCGTCATATAGTTTCGGATAACATCACGCCCAAATTGTTTTGGCGCACACAAAGGATTATTTACATAGATTTTTTATTTGTTCATTTTAATCGGCTTCTTAATATATCAAAGGTATCAATTTATAATTTACAGTCGAGTGAAAATTCGTATAAAATAGTGCACGTTAATAATGTCCAGTTCAATCATTTTTTAATATAATCTTGCGAAATTCTTTACTTGGGGTAGAATTTTACACTTACGAAATAATAAAATTTAACTCTTTTTACGTAAATATTTGTTTACTCTAAGCAAATTTTCACTTTCTTCTCGTAACTATCAAAATCAACTTTCGTTAATAAATAATCAATATAATTAATAAAATGTCAAACACTTCTTATTGTTAAAAGACTTTCTAAAAGAAATTTTTGTTCTCGCACTTATATAAATACATTTTTTGTCTCAATAATAATATTACTAATATTTCAAAATTATTTATTTAAGTCAGCTATTGAAGTGTAAATGCTAAAAAGATTTTCGGTAATAAGATGCGTTTTAAATTGTAAAATGAAATTCATTGAATGAAAATTAAAAGACCAAGAAAAATGCCGTTTTTCACTGTTTATTTCAAATTTTCATAGATAATAATTGGATAAATTATTGTTATATGATCATTTATATTAAATGCTCAATAAGAAATCTCAGCATTATGAAAGTTTTTTGTATTTAATTAATAATAATGATAACAATATGAAGCTTTTTGTACGTGTACCCGTACACCCGCATGTGAATACTTACACATGCATATACATATATATATATATATACATATATATATATATATATATATATATATATATATATATATATACTTTTCTGGAATATGTATTTCTTATATTTTAAACATTATTTTAAATACTGAATATTAAAGTAACCGCGTAGCAATTATTAGTAAAAATAGTAAAATTCAGGAAATAAAAGTAAAAATTAATAAGCAAAAGAAGATGAAATAATGAGAAATAGTATTTTAAAAAATGCGATGGTAAATTTTGAACGAATAATTTATAAAAATAAATTCTTTGAGAATAGAATAAGTAAGAATAAGGAATATAAGTTTGAAATTGCTCTTCAACCGTTTCATAGTGTGATTCGCATTGATTCTATCACCCCATAAATTTGATAGATCGACTCATAAATATGAAATGATAAATACACGAGCATTTCGTAATAAATAGGAAAAAGATATCAAGTCGCAAGACGTATTTCATGTTTATTGACTATTTTCATTTTGATCGTTGTTCTGTATTTTTATTCCTTCTTATTGGTCTCATTCCACAGCAGTTAATGTATATAATAATGTTAAATCAATCATTTTATGTAACTGTGAGATCTAAATATAAGAGAAACGAGATTTTTTTGTGATTTACTTGCCGTCTTCATCAATTCATTTGGTTCTTGTTCTTCTTTTGTTTTTCTTTTTTGTTTTGTTGTTTTAAATATAATATTGTAATTGTATAGTGAGTTGGTATTGTGTCTCTTTTTCATTTGACTTTCGATAGATATTATTTGTATAAATATAAATTAAATATAGTTGAATCATAAAAAATAGTATGTTGATGCATTCGAACAGCAAGAGAAAAAGAAATGAAGAAATGGACATTAAGAGACATTGGCGGATATTTTTATTTTATTTTTTTTTTATTTTTTATTTTTTATTTTTTTTTTTTTTTATTTATTAAATAGCGTGTCCCCGTTCGTGCAGATGATTTAACAAAAACGCAAGAAAAGTAATACCTTTCATATAATATTATCAACGTTGATTCTAATAAGTGAATAAGCTATAAAAAAGAAGCCTCTTCGTATAGTCATCTTTGGACAAAGTTTACAGACACTATTAATTTCGATAGATTCGTTGTGGATATATTCTTTGCAGAGTTAATGTGGCAAGTTACAAGATTCGAGGGTAAGGGTCATTAATCGAAGAGTACAAAAGACGAAACTAAGATTATCCGGCGGCATCCTCGGATGCCATAAATTTCGATGACTGTGTGCTTCTGTTAAGCGACGCAGGTCGAATGGGAATCAACATGACAATGATGAGAAGGCGGCGAGATTGTGAGAGTTTTGGGGTTGGGTTACGCCCCCACGATTACAGGGATAAAGGAAGCGAGTGAGAGGGAAAACTTTGGTCGCGTGCCGTCCATATCCGAGGACACTCGAGCAAGTCCCTAATGCAGTCGCTTTTATCGGGCGGAAGTGCGCGCAAGCTTCTCTCGTTGAATGGTTATTTTGATTGCCTTTGTCCGTGCTAACAGATTAACTTGATCACTAAGCGT